GTCAAAAGGACGTCTAATTAATATAGAATGAGTTTAGGTGAAAATAAACGGAACGGCCTTAACAATAGTTTGGATTAAAAGTTCTACGAACTAAATCAGAAAAGCTACAAAAAGCCATATTAATTCTATTGATTAGAAAATAAAGTAATATCCGTATTTTATGAATCAAATGAATAAAAATATATTAATTAATGATAGCTAAGTTTTTTAGTTTGCTAATTGTTGAACAAGGATTAAACGTAAAAAATTTACAACAGGACTAATCATGAATATACAAAAAAGGAAATCAAACTACCGGGTACATTGTATAAGTATTATTGATTTCATGATGCCTACATCTAATAAATTAGTTTATCGCCTCGATAGCATTTATATTAAGATTATAAGCATTAAAAAGTAAATTAAGGGCATGTAGTTTAGAAAAATTATGAATTGAAAATTCTCTGAGAAATGCCCTGAGGATCATCCATCCTAAGTGTCGCATTGTCGAGCAGAGCTTATTGGGAGAAAATTATGTCTAATGCAAGAAAAGAAATTGTGAAAGACTTCGTATGCAACACAACCTTGCCTTTTTACTAGATAAATTAAAATGGAATCATTCAAGGCACTACATTACTTAAGGACTAGTTCAGATATTCTACCGTAACTAATATAAAGAACGAATTGCATTAGGTCAAGTAAGTGTAGGTATTAGAAGTATTGAAAAAAAAACAATTCTAGGTTTTATATATATATACATATATATATAACATTAAAAAGTGAGAAGCTGAATTTATAGTTTCATTACTGATTTTGAATAGGAGGACTGGGTGGTGCAGGAAACTCGCTAACAGCATCCCAATACTCTCTATAACGACGATACCAAAAGAGAATGTGATGCAGACGATCTTCTAATTTTGTGAGTTTAACCCCAATGTCTTCTAACGTGGGATTATCAGTAAGTTGATCTGTTAAAGAATCTTGATAAAGCAGCTGAGGGAGAATTCGAAGTTCTGTGAGGCTAAAATCGAAAATAGTTACGAAGACATTACTTTCAGGAATCAGAATATATGAGGGACAAGTTTTAATTAAACGATTCTCTCACATCCGTGTAAGAATATAAACTCAAGAATGTCTAGGTGTTAAGATGGACCGTCACAAGCTTTTAAAACAGCATATAGTTCTCATGTAATAATAGACAAAATATAAATAGATACGCTAACTGTATTTCGAAATAGGAAAATTACCCTATTAATACAAACGAAAAGTGATAAAAAGGCCTATAAACCACTGAAGTATGATAACAATCTTCGCAAAACTAGTGCACACGACAAATGATTTCAATATAAGGCTGATATGCTAGTATAGAACATTGTGCGAGACCAAGGAAAGATTGCCTAATCCTTACAATAGGAACACATTTCTAAAAAATGTGCGTAAATGTGCTATCAGAGAAGCACAAAAAAGCATTTCGATTTCGGAAGTAGGTAAGCTGAGCTTCAGCTTCAGCTGAGTTATCCGGCTGAAGGAATTAATGCGGCCGAGTTTTATATTAATTAAAATATGAGTTTTTAAACTATTAAACCACGAATCAATAAAATCAGCAAATATGTATGCTTAGAAAGGTCTTGACATAGACTATGACTAGCTTATTGTCATTACTACTGCCTAACACACAATATAAGAGTATGGAGAGTCAGGATGAGGCGAAGTGAGTGTATATACATTTCAAAGATAAATTTAAGGGGAACAAGCGAATTTTAAATATGATCTCGAACCAAATTATTTTCACTAACCGTTTCCAAAGTAAATTGTCAACTATTTTAATCTCGGTCGGTAAATAACGCATAGTAAAATATATCCACTTAATAAGATCGTCCATTCTATACCGATGGGGTCCAACAGCCTCGAAAATTTTACCCGCAGTTGAGGGAGAGACAGCAGCTATAGATATTGCTTCAGCAACATCGCCATAATAGACGGGCTGTTGTATCGTGTTGATACCCTTGTCAGGAAGATAAATATGTGCTGTAGATCCCAAGCTTACACGACGCGCTAAAATTCAGCAATAACCAAAGGAATTTGTCTTACCCAATGAGGCAAAATAAGACAAAAAGTGATCAGCACTCCCCCACATCGAAGCAGGTCGAAAAATTGTCGCATCTGGCCTTTCTTTTAATACGATCGCCTCGCCAGCTGCTTTCGTATCAATAAAAAGGGAAAGATTTGAAGAGTTCTGTAGTGAAGAATTTTGAGTCTTTTTGAGTAAAGAAACATGAATTAAACGATCTATTCCCAGGATTTTTGATAAGCGAGCAATATTCTCAGCTCCTTCTACATTGGTTTCTTTCATTAAGTAATCAAGCTTTGCTGGGTGACTTTGTCCAATGCAGTTAATGACAACGTTGCTATGCCGCATCGCCTTGATTAAGCTCGTCTCATCGCGCAGACTGAAGGGCTAGAATAAAAGTATAAAATAGTGATCAGAACACATACTGGAGAAGATGCTCAGATTTAAGACCCCTAATACTATTATGGAAATGCATATAGTGAAAATCATCAGCTGTCATGAAGTAAGAAAATTATAGAATATATGAAGACCAAAATAGTGCTACCCTCATTATGGTCGCAGCCTCCTTTCGATTTAGCGAAGTGGGTTGACCTTGTCTTCGCAACTTGGTCTTGTTGTCATGGCGACCTAGTTTAACACATCTTGTCCGAAGTCCTTTGCCATAGTGGTCATCATAATTCCCAGAATCCGACCGTGGAATTAGTACATTTTCAGACGTGCTGGGAATTATGACAACTACTATGGCAGAAGACTTCGGACAAGATACGCTT